CCCTTATCTCTGCTCCCTCCCAGCAGTGACTCCAAACTATGTCCCCAAAGGGCTGTGGATTCCACCAGCATTGATGGAACATTCCATCTATTCTGTCTTTCCAGTATACTCCCTTCAAGCTCAGCCTGAGAACGTCAGATGCTGATGCTGGTGATTGGGGTGTGGAAGAGTTTCCCACCGTCATCCCTTCTCTTTCCCTATCACCCTCACTTCCTCATCACCCCCTCATCCATTTCTTCTCTTCATGTCCCCACTTTACCCCCATGTTCCTCATCTTCTCCATCGTGTCTCCCTTCCCACCGTCATTCATCCTATATCCCCCATATCCCTCCTCTGTCCTCCACCATTCCCCATCTTTGTCCTGTTTTCCTCCGTCCCAACTTTCGTTCTATCTCTCTTTGGTCCTGCTGAATCTTTCCAGAGAAGAGCGCACCGCATTGTGCCTGGAGTTAAGGTCCTGCAGTCTGAGCTGAGGATTTGAAAGAGGATGGGGGAGGGGTTCAGAACCTGTAGAAAAACTTGGTTTAGCCTGTTGTCTTCTGGAGGGGCCTGCCCTGGACAGTACCTGACTGCCTGGACAATAGGGCCACTGTAGGCTTTGCAGGGATGCAAAGGTCTCCTTCCTTCCTTCCTCCCTCCCTGCCTCCCTCCCTCCCTCCCTGCCTCCCTCCCTCCCTTCCTTCCTTCCTTCCTTCCTCCTTTCCTTCCTTCATTTCCTTTCTTCCTTTAAAAATGTTAAAACAAGTTATTAGTGTGTGTGTGTGTGTGTGTGTGTGTGTAGGTGTATGCAGCATGACACTTATCATGGAGATCAAAGGAAAACCTGTTGGAGTCATTTCTCTTCTTCCACCTTTATCTGGGGCTCAGGAATAGAATTCAAGTCAGGTCTTCTTAGGCTTATGAAGGAAGTTCTTTGTCTACTGAGCCATCTCAACAGCCCCTCGTTTTCCTTTCCTTTTTGTGGGAATATGAATCAAACTTACACTGCAAGGAAAGCAATCTTTTTCTTCGTAGAGTGCAGGTTCAATGAACTCCTATCTAGTTCTTGATCAGTTCTGTATTTCCTGCCTGACACTTCCCTCACCAGTGTCTTGTGGTACAGATCCCTAGACTTTGAGAGAGGAGACACAGTCTTTGTAATGTCCACTTTTGGGATCTCAGCTCTGCTGGGTCTCTGTCACTCACTGGACAGCCTTCTAATTCCCAAATCCTAATGTTGCTGCTCAATCTTTTTTCTCTATGTAAATGCCTGTAAAAACTCCTTTCACTGTTGTCTGACATTATTATAATCAATTGACTCTTGTTTTTTATATTTAAATTTTTTGTATTATCATGTAGCTGCATTGAACAGATGCATACATATTTACAGAGATCTCTTCTTAGGAACAAGTAACATGAGAAAAATTGCTACATATAGGAGTATGCTATGCACATGCAAATTTACTGCCTATGACATATATCAAAAGGCCTATGAGCATATAAGCTCATATAATGTATGTTATAGACATACTGTATATGAGGCACATATACATTTCACAATGGAGAATGGCATGTGTGTGTGTGTGTGTGCACACGCACATGTGCACACATGCCCATGCGTATGCAAAATATGATAGCTATTGCTAAAAATGGCTCTGGTGCTGTTTAAAAAAGCATTTCTTTGATTATCTTCATGGTTTGGAGGTCAGGCGGCATGAGTTCAACTCTCAGCCCTAGCGCTAGCATTTGGCATTATATCCTTTCATCTCAGAGTGTGTTCCTGGTAAGAGGCTATGATAGATGGGTCCCTGGGGCAGTGATGAAGATTCCAGAGGGCTTGTGAGGTCCCTGGACCACAGCATGTAGCCCACACTTGGCTGGGGTCCCCAGTGCTGCCTTTCAGAGTCAGTAAATGGCATCCCTCCCTCTGGCTTCAGAACAAAGGCAAACAAAAGAAAAATCAGCAGATAGAACTCAAGGTCACCTTCAGAGCTACATTCTGGAGAATGGCCTTCTAGCTCTCTGTCTGTCATCTCGACCTGGCATTGGACTGAGGGAGAGCTGGGTTCACGCCCAGCAGCTGTACTTTGCCTTGGTCTGAGCAGGGGGAGAGGACAGTGGTGGGGTGGGGTGGGGTGGGGTGAGGAGGGGAGCCCCAGGGGAGAGCTGGCTCTGGGCTTCCAGCTTGAGGCAGAAGGCCTGGGGGTGTTCTGGGAAGTCTTCCTCTGGAGGGCCAGAAACTCATTGCCAGTTTCACATGAAACCTCCAAGTTCCAGGTACCAAACCTCTGTGAATTTCCTAGGGACCTTGATTGCTGGACTGGACAGATACTGTTCCCATCAAGTTGGCTGGTGACAATAAGGAAATGATGAACTCAAGGTCACCTTTCAGCAAGGTTGAATGCCTATTCCCTGTTGCCTTTCCTACCTCAAGCTCTGTCTGGCTGTGCTGTCTGTGATTGCTTCTCAGGGTGCTGTCCTGTGATGAGTAGCATACCAGGACTGCAACAAGAACAGACATGGAGAAGTCACCCCATATATTAACAAGTTCCAGGGAGAGCTGGGGAGATGGTTTAATTGGTAAAGGTCCCTGCTGCCAAGCCTGAAGACCTAGGTTCAATCTCTGGGTGGAGAAGAGAGCCTACCACCACAAGTTGTGCTCTGACTTCCGTATGTGTGCCGTGACATGTATGCAGGTGTACATATACACTGAATGAATGTAACAAAGGAGAAAGAACAACGCTCCTGGGGACAGAAGAAAACCAGAAGCCATGGCCGTTTGCCAGTCAGAGCTGAAAGTGTGACCAGCCAAAGAACCAAAACTGGAGTGACTTTTTTTTAAAGCCCTTGTGAATTAAAAGTCAAAGAAACGAAAGATGAACATCACCAATCAGGTTTCAAGTTCATCTCTGGCTCAGACAGAGGACTCCCCCCTCCTCTATCCTACTCTAGAAAATCATGGGAGAACCCCGGGGGAAGACACAGGACACAAGACAGAGAGAGGGCTGGGCGTAGGGATGAGCTGCTTACCGACAGCCACAGACATCTCATGACCCTCCTAGTGCTAATAGCCAAATGCCAGCCCAGGAGGTGACAGGCATTGTGCTCACTTTACAGGAAAAGAGGCTGTGTGAGGTCAGATAACGCACTCAAGGTCACATGGAGTAGCTGGTGGAGGCAGAACTCAAGCCAGTCCCATCTGCTGGTAGTGCTGATAGCCATAGTGTGACATCCCATCACCTCAGCTGTGTTCTGGTGTGTGGAGTCACAGTTCCTGCTTGCACTCATAGAGAGGGGGCCGCATGAAGGTGTGAGGTGTGGTAATGGGGGGCTGACATTATGTGGGTGCTTTAGAGTTTGTTCACCATGGCATCTCCTGGCAGTCAAGTCAGTTCTCAAGTAATGTTCAGAGGCTGATTTTCTTGACAGCAGCCCACTAAATATACAGAAACTCTCTCTCTTAAACCTTTGTTAAGAACAGAGGTCCCTGCCTTAAATATTCCTGTATATTCATATTTGAGCTCAGCATCCCATCCCCACACACTTGCTAGGAAAGAATATCCTTGGTGTTCCATGAAGAAACATATGAACAAACTGAAAGGAACCTGGCGACACACTTTCTCTTTGTAAAAATGGTATGCCATGACCAACAGAACACATGATGGTCAAGGTAGACTCTTGTCTTTTGTCCCCAATGCAAGGAGGAGCTTGGCTGGTCTTCATTGGCTGAGGTTCATCCTCACAGTCTACTCCAGACTGGATAATTTGAAAAGCAGTGTGAAGGAAATGAAGGGAAAGCGAAAGGGATATGGAGCATTCATTCCATAATATCAGTTCTGGGAATGTAGCAGGGGCTTTGTAGAAAGAAAAGTTTTTACCAGGTGGGGGAGGTTTGTGGGATCTTGTCCCTTGGCAGGCTAGTCACCTCTGATAGAAAAACATAATTTCTCACAGTAATGTGATGGTTTGAATGACAATTGTTCCACAGGATCATACATTTGAAAAATTGGTGGCTCTGTTTGGGAAGGATTAGGAGGCGTGGCCTTGTTAAAGGAGATATTTTGGGGTTGGCTTTCAGGTTTTAAAGCATAAGCTATTCCTAGTTAGTTCTCTCTCTCTCTCTCTCTCTCTCTCTCTCTCTCTCTCTCTCTCTCTCTCTCTCTCTCTCTCTGCCTCACGCTTGTGGGTCAAAATGTAAGCTCTCAGCTACTGCTTTTTCCCGCCTCCTTGCTGTCATGCCCCTTGACAGGATAGTCATAGACTCTAGCCCCCTTGAGCTGTGAGCCCCAAATTAAATGCTTTCTTGAATAAGTTACCTTGTAATTAAAAGAATAACTAAGACACTACTCAATAAAGAATAAAGCATTTGTGTAAAGGAATGAAACAGAACAAAGTTGAGTTGCTCTACAGGGTATCGACATAGCTGGCAAAAGTGGACTATTCCAGAAAACATCAGCGACTACTATGGAAATGAAGCATGTGCTGGATGGCAAAAGCAAACACAGTAGAAAAAAAAACATTTGCAATAGGAATATTTCATGTGTGTTGTCTGTGAGGCAGCCTCTGGGAACCACTGAGTCAACTTCAGGTGACTGAGCAGTACAGCACATGGACCAAGAGCAGAGGGCAGAATTCCAGCCATCCCCAGGAGGTCTCTACCACCTTCAGAATATCACTGGGGCAAAGAATTCCCAGTGTGTTAGTTCTTGTATTCACATATAGCATTATAAACGTCACCTACAGAGGGTGACCCATCGACCACAGTCAACACAGGCAATGGTTTCCCAGAAACCGTTTGTAATAGGCAATATTAAAAAAAGCCAGAAACTTTCCTCATTGGTAGAGTCCCATTCCTTTTTGGGGACTCCTGCTCTTGCCACCGATCCTTCACTTACATCAGATATTGACCATCTTCTGAGCAATGGACTTGGCATTGAAACCAATTGAGAGGCATCTGAGATTTCTCCATTTAGCTGGGTAAGACAACTGATACTCTATTCCATGTCTTATTCATGGCAATTTTTTATTTAAATGTAGAATGGAAGATGATCCAGAGTACAGGAGGTAGGAGATTGGAATGCAAGTGTAAACTTCCACACCACATCCAAAGGTCACACTTTGTCCCATCGCACTCTGCCTGAGTTTTCCCTTCCTGGGTCCCTTATTCTTCCCCATTCCTCTTCTCCCGGTGTTTATTTCTACTTTTCCCTCCAGACTCTGCTACCAGACTAGAGGTTCTGTGCACACTTGGAACAGCACAGGCAATGAGAATTCTTATTTAAATTATAGTAGCATGCTAAGGGTGGAATTACAGCATTTTGACCAGTACAAACTCATTTGCCCTCTAAGTATTTAAACTTGCTGGAAGGTCATGACTGTCACCAAAGCCGTCCAAGGTCACGTTGGAGGCGACTGATGCTGCTTGAATTTTCAGCTGCAAAGTTGTGACTTTGAAGGAATGCTCATCCAACTTTTCTCTGCTAAGTCTCAGGAAAGTGACAGTGGGTTTGGGGGACATTAGGCTTTTCTCTGTCTTGTTCCTTAGTGGAGAAAGTCTTCACCCTTGGGCCCAGTCCTGTAAAGTCAATAGCATGAGTGTTGCTCTTGGCACCTTCAGTTACTGTGGTCTTTCCCTTGGGCCCTTGCCAACAGGATTGTATGGGCATTTGGTGCCAAATGACCCAGAAACAGAGGCTGTGAGCTGAGCAGAGTGGAAAACTACCTTGTATCCACATTGCTGCCTGGGTAACTCCACCTGTGGGACCTACTTTATACATAAAGCAGAAATTTTTGGTTTTTGGTTTGTTTTGTATCTCGGGGTGTGGTGATTTGAATGAGAAATGTCCCCTGCAAGCTCACATATTTGAACACTTCATTCCAAGATGATGGCACAGTTTGGAGGGGATAGAAGGCATGGTCTTGTTGGAGGAAGTGTGTCACCGGAGGCGGGCTTAGAGAGATTTTTTTTCTAAATTCAGATTTACCTATTTCACTTTATAGAGTGTTTTGCCTGCATATCTGGTCCCCTGAACTGATATACTATGTGGGTGCTGGAAGCTGAACCTCAGTCTTCTGTAAGAGCAAGTGCTGCTAACTGCTGAGCTACCCTCCAGCCTTGGGTTTTGAGAATTTAAAGACTTACGCTGTTTCCATTGGTTCTCTCTGCTTTGAACTGCAGTTCAAGATGTGAACTTTTGGCATCTTGCTCCAGCCACCATGCCCGTGCCTTGTATCCATGCTTCCCCGCCATAACGGACTCTTATCCATCTGGAGCTGTAAATCCAAATAAACTCTTCTATAAGTTGCCTTGATCCTGGTATTTTATCACAGCCACATACAGGATCGCAAAACCCTGTGTGTAATAGCTCCAATTCCGGGCATCCTGTCTTCACATCACCACATTTAAAATAATGCCACATTATTAATCTTTTCTCTCCCACCCTCATTCCAAATTTTGCTTCATTTGTCCCTGTGGATTCTGTTTTGGGTAACTTATATGTCTTCTTCAGTTTTTCTGGATTTTTACATATGTGCTTTGGTGAATCCCACTCATTCCTTTATGTGTTTTGAAACTCACCTTTCTCAGCTGCCCTCTGACACTGTGAATTACATGCTTCTCAGGTTGGTACATAACTTTTCCCCCTCTTCACGTCTGGGGCCTCTGTTTGTACGGGTCGCACCTGAGCCAGGAGGCCTCCCTTTGTTCACAGTCCTCTCACGCCCTGGAGGCTTCTTTCTGCACTTCCTGCAGGCAGTGTCTCAGAATGACACCTTCCCCGCACATGACTCATCACTTCCGTCCACCACCAGGCACCTGCCAGCTTGCTTTCTCTTTGGCCGTGAGGTCCAGCTGCATGTCCTCCCAATCTGACCCCATCTTTCTGCTTGAAATCTACTTTCTTTCTGGGGACAGAAGAAGTCTCTGTGTTGGAAGGCATCCATGAATGGGCAAGCCCCACGCGCTGTCACTGAGAGCTTGAGCTGCAACAATGTATCCCTTCTGATTGTTCCTGACTCATAATTCCGGTGAGAAGTGTTTCCGAGCCTAGTGTTTTAATCCCTGGGAGACCCAGGTCATAGCTGCCGTGAAGGAGACTGGGAGACAAACCTCAGGGCTTGTCTGGGAGGGAGTCTTTAGACTGGGTTAATAGAAGTGACAAGACCCACCCTGAATGTGGGCAGCTCCATTCTAGGAGCTGGGATCCTGAACTGAATAAAAAGAGGAAAGCAGGTTGAGCGAAGCATTCCTCCTCTCTCTGCTTCATGAGTGGGAGTGCGATGTGACCAGCCATCTCACAGTCCTGGTGCCATGCCTTCCCCCACCATGATAAATCACAAACCACAAGCCAGCAAAAACTCTTCTCCCCTTAGGTCAGGCATTTGGACACAGAAGCAAAAGTAAATAATACAGCAACAAAAGAGCCCATTTAGGCAAACCCATACAGAAGGATTTAGAAATCCTTGTCTTCATCTTAGCTATGTGCCTGTGAGGTTTGCTTGACTGACTGATGACTGACAAGCCAGCATGAGAAAGAGGGAGGGATATGGGCATCAATGGTGTGGCAGGAACTACACAAAGAGAATTAACTGTGGTTGGTGGACAGTGAGGGCCAGGAGGAGCAGACTTGGTAGCCTTGTCCAATTTGAAGACCTGGCTTGGGTCCTGCTCCTGAGAAGCTGCAGACCCTAGGGAAAGGCCACAAGGTGGAGAAAGGCCTCAGGGTCCTGCAGCTCCATGGCTCCCGTGGGCTTGCAGCCTACTGCTTTCCTTCTCTTTTCTGGCTAGCATCTCATCTCTAGTCTTCAACTGAGCATGGATATCCAATTTCTTATTGGTGAGATTTCAGGGTTTTAAAGTACACCGGGTGAGCACACTAAGGATGTACTACTTTCAGGTCACAGGCCTCCGTTCTACCACGAGCAGTCACGGGGGAGATCCCACTGCCTCATGCTTGTTAAAGACAGTGGCTCGCACACTAACTTTTCCTGTTGGTAGAGATTGGGACGGCTGTCACCTTTCCTTTTTCAGGGCTGCATGCTCTCTGAGCTGTTCAGAGTGAATACGTAAGCAGGCTTCTCCATCAGCCCCACCCCCAGGACCTCCAACCACACCGGGTCTCCTACTTCAGGCAGCACCTGCTACCCAGGCCTGAGCTTGTGTGTGGTAAATCACCATGACCTTCAGTGGGTTATGAAATCAATAGAGAGTGTTAGAATTTGCATTTAAGAAAGGTAAAGTAGAAGAGGGAAGGCATGGGACTTACTGCCTTAAGAGTATCTCTTGTTGTACAGAGGTTGTGTGTGTGTACATGCTTGTATGTGTATTTGCATATGCACATATGTGTATTTATGTATGTGTGTATATATATGTACATGCATATATGTATATGTATGTGTGTATATGTGTACATGTGTGCGTGAATGTGAGTGTGGCCAGCATTTTTAGTTTTGATTGTGAGTCACTGACAGCTGATGATTGATAGTCAAGGTCTGAGAGAGACCCGATGCTCTCCCTTCCTCTGCAGCTGGGCTCCTTTCGGTGCAGATTGTGTTGTGGTCATGTTGTGAGCTGTCCAAGGGAGAGTTCTTGAATGTGCTCTGGTCTCCTGAGATGCCACAGCTGCTGTCCTCCCCCAGCACGTACACTTTTGCTCTTCCAGGACGTCACACTTCCCACACCTGGCTGACGCTTTGTTCAGCTGACTGCTGTGGACACTGAGTCTGCCTGGCTGGAGCTGCGATAGGAAGTTTTCAGGGTAAGTGTTTTAGGGGGTGAGCCCCTAGGCCAGATGGGGCAAGCAGGTGGCATCTCAAGTGGTATTACTTTGGGAGACGTGGAGGAACATGGGGGAAACACTAGGCGTTAGTTTATGGAGGAGGCAGGGAATGAACACAAGGTTGGAGTAACAGGACGTGCTGGGCACATCACCTCGGAAGATGGATTCTGTGAAGGGGAAGGTGCATCAGAGGTCCATTCAGTGTGGCGCTTGACACGATGGGTAGGGTAGAAGGAGGATCTAGTGAGAGCCCGGTAGACCAGTAAGCTGGCAGGCTACTGGACTGCTCCCGTGCTTTCTCCTCCCTTTTTTTCCAGGGTCCCAGTCAATGTTGCTGTGAGGTTCCATCTTCTGTCTTGGTTTTCGAAATGGAACACCTCAACTTAAGGTAGTGTTGTTGCTTGAACTCCACGTGATCCTCAGAGGCCCCTGTAGTGGTCTTTGGGCTTGTTATGTAAGTAGGGCTTCGGAAAGTCCCTATGTCTGATGTCAAAGATGCATCCCAAGTGAACAATATGGAAAACCAAGTAAATAGATAGAATCTTAACTGTGGCTGCTGGTGAAGAACCCAACCCTGTGTGCCTGGAATCTCAGCACCCTACTTGGTGGAAGTGGCCCTGAAGCAACAAAACTCTAGGAGGAGACTGTGCCCGAGCCTGGGGAGCCCTTGGGTCCTATGGTTCTGTGTGTCCTAGCCTCAGGAGCCCATCTCTACCCCATCCACCCTTCCTGACTGAAATTAGTAAGTAGCATAGCATAAACACACTCCATTTGTTTACACACGTTTTTCTTACCACAGACTACCTACCTGCTCCTTTGAAGCCAGCCATAATATAACCCCGTCTTCTATTTTCCCATCACAACTGGAGATTGTACACAGTGGGTGCTAATTAATCATTGCCATATTGAACTGGAAAGCCACCATGGAGTGTTCTCCTTTCTCACAACCAACTTATTCCTGTGCCTTTGAAGTCGCGCTCAAGAGCCTGGGTGATGGGATCTATGAATCACGAGCCTGAGTTAGCTGTGTTTCATCGTGCAGAGAAGGAGTTCTTTAAAATAGCTATGCCACCCATTCTCATGCTGGCTGCCTTCCTGGGAAGACAGCCCCAGTGTATGCCATATCCCTTGCTTGAAAGGTGGGTGGAGGCTGAGTGGAGCAGGGGAGGGAGGAGAGGAGGTGTTCAAACACCAGGGGAACAGGATGCGCTGAAGAAATTGAAGGGCCAGGGTGGCGGCTGTGTCTCCCCGTTCCATTAAACGACTAACGCAGATTAGCTAAATGGGACTTCCTGGAGAGGATGTCCTGGCCATCTGCAACTGTGAGCAGTGGGGCCTATAGGGCTGGCATCACACAGGCCAGGCCACACAGGGCCAGGGGCAGGTAGCACCTTGGGATCAGGGAGGGGACATTAGACTGAAGTTGGGGGTGGGCGCAGGATGCAGCCCTGGCTCAACCTTGAACTCACCAAAGACCATGGTCCGCCACTTCTCGCTTCTGCAAGTGAATGTCCTCACCTCCCCAGTGTTTGATCGGCGACCTCCGAGGAGCCTTTCATCAGACACTTTGACTCTTCCAGGCCCTGGCATTCTGTAACTTAGAGGGGTGGGCGGGGAGGGGACAAATAGAGATTCTGAAGCCCAGGGCACAGCATGGGGAAGCCCCAAGATGACACAGCCCTGCGGGAATCTCTAAAATAGTCTTGGAAATGCAAATGGAGGGCAAAAGGTCTCACAAGATTGGAGTAGCCAATTCTACTCCCTCACATCTTTCAATGACATAGCTATTGAGGATATTGATGGAAATCTGCTTTATATGTAAGTGGTGGATCAAGTATTTCACCTTGAGGTTGAGGGTTGTTCATCTTCACACACAAGTACGCTGTGGCATCCTGTGGTCTGACAAAGGGGCTTGCGATTAAGACAGGGCTGCATAATACGGTGCTGGATGTAGGCAGGCAATGTTCATATCCAAGCAATACGCGGTGCTGTGGGAAAGCGGCATTTTGCATAAATAGTGTGAAAGAAGGACCAGAATTTCCACCATCATCTCAGGTTCTACTTAATCATGCTTTCCTGGGAAAAGGTGAGATCAGAGCAGCCTTCTAAGACCTGCTGGACCGTAATAAGGCTCACATGGAAAGCACTCAAGGGACCTAGAAAGTTTATATCTTTAAAAAAAAAAGCATATCCCCAAATCACGCAATTAATATAGCCCCTTGGATACATGTTTGAAGTTGAAATTGTCATGATAAGGAACTGGAGAGATGACTTAGGGGTTAGGAGCATTTACTCTGTAGTCATGAGGACCAGAGTTTGGATTCTAGCACCTACATAAAAAGCCATGTATCTCTGCAAATACCTGTAACCCTGGACCTGAAGGGAGGGTTGCCACGGTGACAAAACATGGGTCTTTGGTTCAGTGAGAGGCCTTTTCAAAAGAAAAAGGCAGAGAATGATAGAGGACAGACCAAGGCCCTTTTTTTGACCACCACACTCATGCACAGACATGTGCACATACATAAACTATTAAATACAATACAATAGATCAATAAAAATGGCATGCTGAAACAATATTAAATGGTGAAATCTTCTTATAGATGGATACATTCAAGGGTGGAAATTCACACGGGAAAGAAGGTCAAAACAGTTGTTTCTAGGTGTTGAGCCCCTCAGTAACTTAGAAGCCCCAGAAGCCAAGAGCTATGCTGAGACTGTGTCCCCAAGCGACCATTTATTGCATGGCATGTATCTGCATTTCTTGGAAAGCAACTTAAATATTAATGGTTACTTTAAAAGCTGATGAACTATTTATAAAGAGAAACATTATTTTTGCACACCTATAATAGGTTACTTCAAGAGTTTTGGTAAGAAGTATCTGTGTGCATACTGATGGTCTCTGACAAATGACAGGATTATATCCCCAAAGACCCA